CCCCCCATCCCCCCATCCACCAAGGCAGCACATCAATGTAGCCGTTGATTGATTGGCTCGGTAATTGCCGAAGGACGAGGGAGGCTATCATGATCACGTGGTGGACGAAGGGGTCTGTGTTGGGGGGGCGCTTGATAAAAGGTTGCGTAGACGAAAAGGCTCTGACGACGTGGTCAACGAAAGAGAGAGGGGGGGGGGGGAAGGGGGATGGTCCGAAGGGGAGGGGGAGGATGATCGAAAACCCTAAATCCGAACAGTGCTCTACGCCCGTATTTAGCAATAGCAATTGATTGAGGATAATAGCGCGAAGAAGATTAATTGATGAACTAAATACCATGTGCCCTGAGCACTCAAGGATGACACGCAGAAATCGAGAAATGGTTGGAATTCGTGAAAAGGACAAAGAAGGGAATGGTCCAAATTCAGCGGATAGGAGGAGTTCAATGGATCGAACGAAGATCATTTTACCGTCTTCATTGGAAAAGAAAGCCGTGTTTTTTTTTTTCTTTTTTTTTTTCTGCCTTACTACATTCTTTTTTTATTTTATTTTACTTTTAATACAAGAAGACTCAGCTCATTTGATTACGCACACCAAAAAGAGAGGCCGGGAAAACCTCGAGAAACAACCCGGAATGAAAAAATAGTGTTTTCTGGGACCCCTTTACCCAGCATAGGGAATAGGTGTCGGGGTGAGAAAATCCAGCGACAGAAATGGCCAAAACCAGACCGCTGGCCTGATACCCGCCGACCCTGCTTGCTACATTCTCTGCCTCTGGTGTTACTGTTAAAAGAAATAAAAAATAAAAAGGTAATAGCTATCGATCGATGGTAATCGGATGAGGATTCGTCTATCTGCTAGGCTACCAGAGTGGCCCGGGACCACTTGCCTGCCCGGGCGAAACGAAAGAAAGAAAAATTGATTTAATTTTTTAATTTCAAATTGGTAACCCTGAGGCAAAAGTTGTTCAGTTTATTTTTCTGCATAACATAAATCTTGTCCAGAATTTTTTTTTTTTTTTTTTTTCTGCGACCTTCTGTGGTCCTCACACGGCCGGGCCGCCCGGGCCCCGGGCAGCCCGGTCGGTGGCCTAGTCTATCTGTCGACTGGTGTTCACTTGGGAAAAGTCAATCTGTGTTTGTTTGGGGTGTGTGGATGCCTCATGCATGCACCCATTGGTACATTCTCTGCCTTTGATGTCATTGTAATGTTCACAGAACGCTTTTTTTATTTATTTTTATTTTTATTTTTTATAGCGATGGTGATCTGATGATTGGCCTTTCTGTCGACTTCTGTTCACTTGGGAAAAATCAATCTGTGTTTTTTTTGGGGTGTGTGGATGCCTCATGCATGCGCACTCCTTGGTACATTTTCTGCCTTTGATGTCATTGTAGTGTTTATCGGACGATGGTGATCTGATGATTGCCCTTTCTGTCGACTGCTGTTCACTTGGAAAAAGTCATCTGTGCTTTTTTTGGGTGTGTGGATACCTCATGCATGTACCCATCGCTACATTCTCTGCCTTTAATGTCACTGGTGGTGATCTGATGATTGGCCTGTCTGTCTACTGGCGTGTTGACTTGTGGAATAGTCAATGGGCCTCGCTGCACTACTCTCGAAATGTGTGAAATGAGACTGAATCCACGGCTAGAACATGGAACGATACACTCTCATCTTTTTTGTCTTTTCTGCATGTCGAGAGTAGTGCAGCGAGGCCCAATGTGTGTTTTTTTGGGCCGTGTGCATACCTCATGCATGCACCCGTTGGGATTTATCTGATCCCAGTGGGAAACACTATCGACTGGTGTGTGTGTGTGTTTGACTTGGGAAAACCAACCAATCTGATTTGATTTGATGTGTGGGCTGGGCGCCTCATGTGTGCAGCGATCGGTAGTAGTGTGTTTGACTTGGGAAAACCTACCGATCTGATTTGATTTGATTTGATTTGATTTGATTTGATTTGATGTGTGGGCTGAGCGCCTCATGTGTGCACCGATCGGCAGCAGTGATCAGATCGGTAGTAGTGATGTATCTATGGACTTGGAGAAAGTCCAATCCGTTGAATCCGACGATTAGTCCTTTCGGGGGGACATCCGTTAAAATTGGAACGGTATAGAGAAGATTAGCATGGCCCTGCGCAAGGGAAAAAAAAAAAAAAAAAGAAACCTAATCCGATTGCATGTGTGGAAAGATGCATCATGCATGCTATATCGATAACTGTGGGCCTGATGATTAATGCATGGTCTACTGTTGACTTGGTGGGTTGTTTGAATCTGGATTCGTTCTCGGCCAGTGCACCCCCCCTGATGGTGTGGTTGGTTTTTCCTTTCGTTGGCTGACGATGGATTGATCGGCTGATTATGGAATGAATTGCTCAGAGTTTCTAGAGGACGACAATGGCGATCGCTTCCCAAGGAGAGAGACACCAAGAAATGAACAGAGAGAGAGGCGGGAGACGGCCAAGGTGAGAGTCCCAACCAACGGGCCTGGGAGCCAAGTTGGTACAGACACACCCATAAAATGTGTTTTTGAGATGCACAGACCTGGGTTAAAACGGTGATCGAACTAAATGAATGAAGAGGTCTCCAGCCAGGGTGAGAGGCCTAACCAACGTGACTTAAGGGCCAAGTTGGTACATACACACCCATAAAGTGTGTTGAAATGCACAGACCTCATCCTTTTCCACTATCAATACTAGCCTTGGGCACTGGACCCTAATACAAAAAAAAAAAAAAAAAAAGCACAGACCTAGGGTGAGAGTCCCAACCAACGGGACTTAAGGGCCAAGTTTTTGGTACATACACGGCCATAAATAAAGTGTGTTGAAATGCACAGACCTAGGGTGAGAGTCACAACCAATGGGACTTAAGGGCCAAGTTTTTGGTACATACACGGCCTGTCTCTTATACACATCTAGATGTGTATAAGAGACAGTGCATCATCCATAAAGTGTGTTGAAATGCACAGACCTGAGCTCGAATCGGGATTGAACAGAATGAATGAAGGTGAGAGTCTCGTCTCGTAATGCTCGACTGTGTTACTTCACATGAGCACCGAAATAAAATGCAGGCGGAGAGCTTCAGGAGGCCCCACTTTGGCTCTGCGTGTGCCTAAGTCCAGCAAGAACCCGGCCAGATCGGTGCACATATTCGTGCTCACTGAGCACGGACACACACACACACACACACACACACACACACACATGCACATGGCATGTTGCTTGCTAAAGAGGTGAAATTGGTTAACTGTTGGGCTGTCTCAACTCGAATCTACTCATCTGGGTGGAATAGGGCCTGTTGTGGTGGAAATTTAAAACACACATGGCGGCACCAAATGGGGTCCGTGACTGAAACTGTGAGTTCACACAGCGACTTTACAAATCTTTTCTCTTTACGACACAGATCTCAAGGTATTGTGTGTGTCTGGACACTGGGCTGGATCCCACTGGATTAGAGAATCTTAGAGAGAGAGAGAACATACAATCCATTCAAGTGCATCCCAATCTACTCCAATTCAACACAGTCCAGTCCAGTTTTGCACAATCCAATTCAACCCAATCCAACCCAATCCAATGCAATGGATATATGATGCAATACTGGGTGATGTAAGCAGTTCGAACCTGGAGCAGAGGTTGCGTGATGATGATCCAGTTCAATCAAGTCCAATCCAGTTTTGCCCAATCCAATCCAATCCAATCCAATCCTATCCAATCCAATCCAATCCAATCCAAAACCAATCCAATCCAATCTAATCCAATCCAATCTAATCCAATCTAATCCAATCCAATCCAATCAATCCAATCCAATCCAATCCAATGCAATGCACGCAATGGATGTACGAGGCAATGCAGGGTGATGCAAGCAGTTCGAGCCCGGAGCAGTCAGTTTTGTCTAACCCAATCCATCCTGATCCAATCCAATCTAACCCAATCCAGTTCAACCCAATCGATCCTAACCCAATCCAATCCAATCCAATCCAATCCAATTCAGTCCAACCCAGTCCAGTTCAACCCAATCCAACCCGACCCAATTGAATCCAATCGAATCCAATCCAATCCAATGCAATCCAATTCAATGCATGCAATGGATGTACGAGGCAATGCAGGGTGATGCAAGCAGTTCGAGCCCGGAGCAGTCAGTTTTGTCTAACCCAATCCATCCTAATCCAATCCAATCTAACCCAATCCAGTTCAACCCAATCGATCCTAATCCAATCCAATCCAATCCAATCCAATCCAATCCAATTCAATCCAAGCCAATCCAATCCAACCCAATCCAGTTCAACCCAATCCAATCCAATCCAATCCAATCCAATCTAACCTAATCAAGTTCAAGGCCATGCAAAGCATATATGAGGCAATGCAGGGTGATGTAACAAGTCCAAACCTGCAGCAGACATTGTGCGGTGACGATAGGCCTCGGCTGTGCCACACCAGGTTATGGTGCTGTGGCATGCCGGGGCCTCCCACAACGGGGCTGGGAAGCCCGCTTACCATTTCAGGCGGCCCCTCAGCTGCCTTGGCCCTCCTTGGGCCTAGGATGATGGCTGAGAGGCCGTGCAAAGTGTTCTGAGGGCCCTGGGAGAGTGGATCAGACATAATCTGTGTTTTTTTTTTTAAATAAATATTTGTTTGCTTTATATTTTGTTGGTGTCAGGTCGATTCCGTTGGTGTGCCATTTCGGCTTTGTCCTGGTCCAGATCATGTCGTCTCAGTTCTTTTTTGTTTTTGTTTCTTTTTCATATTAAACTGACCAGAACAGATACTACACATGATCTTACTTATAGCTTCAAAAGGCCGAGAAAGGTATCGTCTCAGCTCTTTGCACGACCAGGTGTATCCCGTTTGGAAAGGGATCCCGTTTTGCATTTTGGCCCAGTTTGTCCGTATCTGGCTGGGCGTGGGTTTTGTCCGGTAGAACCGGGCCCAGCCGTGCTGGTCCAGGACTAGCAGACAATGCAGCACGTGGAGCTGGGCGAGGTGGTTTGGAGAGGCCTCGGCCACAAATTTTCGGCCTGGGAACTGGGAGGTTGGGTCCACGGCCGGCCCGTAGGTCGACCGGATGGCCAAGCTAAGTGGCCAGGGTAGTAGCACTTTGGCCCAGGACTACTTAGAGCCTACTCACACTAGCTCGACCTTAAATGTGTCTGACCGCGCTCACGGCAAGAGGGGATGTATCTGACTGAATTGCGTCCGGAATTGAGAAAAAAGGATCTACCGGTAGTGTGCGTATGCACTCTGAAAGGAGAGGTGCAGCAGCCGGAATACAAGTGGCTTTTCCTTTGCTTTCAACGTGACATGGTCACTCACGGCATACTCACACTAGGACTTTCTGGATGTATATGGCCGCTTTTCCGACCCCACCTGGACGCACCTGACCGTGATGACATCCACAGAGAACTAGAAAAAGTCTAGTGTGAGTATGCTGTCATAAGCTTATAGGTCTCTCTTGCCACCGTCTCCTTCAACGGAGAAACCTCCAACCTCCTTTTCTGTTCTCGCCGCATGCGCAGATGAGATCCTTGTCCATTTTTGTTTTTTTTTATGCACCTAACGTATTGGGTAATACGCCCTGACAATTATATACCTGCAAATCCTTCCAGGTACTGTGCAAGACCAGGTACAGCACGATGCAGGATGCAGGCAAGGGGTTGGCAGGGGTAGGTGCTGACGTGACACTGGTACTGACATGGTAACCTGTCGAAGTGGAACCTTTGCTGATGTGGTGGTCCTGTCGGGCCCAATCATCATGCGTCCGTCTGACGTTTCTTTTTCTGTCCGCAGCTCTGAGATGCCAAATTTTCAATCAATTAGAGTAAACATCGGTGTGCTTACACCTCATTGGAAGCACATCACATCACACTTTGATTGGAAAATTGACGGAAAACCTAGGCTACGTGTCTTGCCGAGCCGTGCGGCACGGCAGTGCACGCACACCCGGGCAAGTTGCCTGGGGGTCGCCTGCACGGGGCAACCACGTGTGTTGTGCAGGCAAAAATCAGCCCTTTTTATTTCGTTGCTTTTTGTTTGGGGTGCAGGGTGGCCAGAGGAGCCCAAATCCGGGCTCCTTTCTTTTTTCAAGCGTTGGCTGTCAAGGGGGGGGGGGAGGCGGGTATGCATCGGTTTTTAAGGGGCTAAAGGAGTTTAAAGGGGGGTGCCTCAGTCTGATTCTGATGTTTTCTTTTTCATCTGTTACGATCCTGGCCAATTTCGAAGTCCACAATCATCAGAAAGTACAATGTTGTCCAATTGCGAAGAGAAATGAATGAACTTGAGCCCAATGCCGTCCAACTGCAAAAGAAATGAAAGAACTTGAGAGGAGAGAGAGGGAAAGAA